TCCGTTGCTCACATGTGCGCGTCGACTTCGGTGTGCAAGAACGTTGATTATGAATCCTGCTCTCCGTTCACTCCTTGCAGCTGTACACGTTCAGCAGCGGGGAAACTTTGGGAGAGCACATTGCGTCGAAGGCCAATGTGTAACTGCGTGAGGTTGTCGTGCCCCTCGTGTGGTATAGGGCGGCCCTCTCCACCGTGTGCTTATACGTTGCCCTCATCGGGGTCGTGAGCTCGGGACAGACGTGATGACTGCTGCACAGGTGTCAGTCATTTGTCTGATGGTGGTACTGACACAAGACTGCATGTTGACCGTAGTCTGTTTTCTGTGCACGGTTCAGACGCGGTTCTGCGTCTGTTGCTCACATGTGCGCGTCGACTTCGGTGTGCAAGAACGTTGATTATGAATCCTGCTCTCCGTTCACTCCTTGCAGCTGTACACGTTCAGCAGCGGGGAAACTTTGGGAGAGCACATTGCGTCGAAGGCCAATGTGTAACTGCGTGAGGTTGTCGTGCCCCTCGTGTGGTATAGGGCGGCCCTCTCCACCGTGTGCTTATACGTTGCCCTCATCGGGGCCGCGAGCTCGGGACAGACGTGATGACTGCTGCACAGGTGTCAGTCATTTGTCTGATGGTGGTACTGACACAAGACTGCGTGTTGACCGTAGTCTGTTTTCTGTGCACGGTTCAGACGCGGTTCTGCGTCTGTTGCTCACATGTGCGCGTCGACTTCGGTGTGCAAGAACGTTGATTATGAATCCTGCTCTCCGTTCACTCCTTGCAGCTGTACACGTTCAGCAGCGGGGAAACTTTGGGAGAGCACATTGCGTCGAAGGCCAATGTGTAGCTGCGTGAGGTTGTCGTGCCCCTCGTGTGGTATAGGGCGGCCCTCTCCACCGTGTGCTTATACGTTGCCCTCATCGGGGCCGCGAGCTCGGGACAGACGTGATGACTGCTGCACAGGTGTCAGTCATTTGTCTGATGGTGGTACTGACACAAGACTGCATGTTGACCGTAGTCTGTTTTCTGTGCACGGTTCAGACGCGGTTCTGCGTCTGTTGCTCACATGTGCGCGTCGACTTCGGTGTGCAAGAACGTTGATTATGAATCCTGCTCTCCGTTCACTCCTTGCAGCTGTACACGTTCAGCAGCGGGGAAACTTTGGGAGAGCACATTGCGTCGAAGGCCAATGTGTAACTGCGTGAGGTTGTCGTGCCCCTCGTGTGGTATAGGGCGGCCCTCTCCACCGTGTGCTTATACGTTGCCCTCATCGGGGTCGTGAGCTCGGGACAGACGTGATGACTGCTGCACAGGTGTCAGTCATTTGTCTGATGGTGGTACTGACACAAGACTGCATGTTGACCGTAGTCTGTTTTCTGTGCACGGTTCAGACGCGGTTCTGCGTCTGTTGCTCACATGTGCGCGTCGACTTCGGTGTGCAAGAACGTTGATTATGAATCCTGCTCTCCGTTCACTCCTTGCAGCTGTACACGTTCAGCAGCGGGGAAACTTTGGGAGAGCACATTGCGTCGAAGGCCAATGTGTAACTGCGTGAGGTTGTCGTGCCCCTCGTGTGGTATAGGGCGGCCCTCTCCACCGTGTGCTTATACGTTGCCCTCATCGGGGTCGTGAGCTCGGGACAGACGTGATGACTGCTGCACAGGTGTCAGTCATTTGTCTGATGGTGGTACTGACACAAGACTGCATGTTGACCGTAGTCTGTTTTCTGTGCACGGTTCAGAAGCGGTTCTGCGTCTGCTGCTCACATGTGCGCGTCGACTTCGGTGTACAAGAACGCTGATGATGAATCCTGCTCTCCGTTCACTCCTTGCAGCTGTACACGTTCAGCAGCGGGGAAACTTTGGGAGAGCATATTGTGTTGAAGGCCAATGTGTAACTGCGTGAGGTTGTCGTGCCCCTCGTGTGGTATAGGGCGGCCCTCTCCACCGTCTGCTCATACGTTGCCCTCATCGGGGTCGTGAGCTCGGGACAGACGTGATGACTGTTGCACAGATTTCGTTCGATCGGTAGTGGTGCTGACAAAACATGGTACATCACCCATAGTCTGCCCCGCGTCCCAATCTCAGCAGCTGCACTGCTTAAGCGCCTCTGGGCTGCGTGTCTTTGGGACATGCGCACTCGTCGTCAGGCAGTGCTGCACCGGGAGTCACGCGTGTTGCGCGCAGTGTGATGGCATACGCTGTGTGCTTTTCGCTGTTTCCATTGGCGATGAGCGCGGGTGACGAAGGTATTGTCGTGCGGGCCGGACGGGCCATGCCCCGCCCTGCCGTTCGCCCGCCCAAGGCCGAAGGTGCCCCCAGCTTTTCGCTCCATTTTGGAGACCCTGGGGCCCTCTGGGCCTCGTGAGGGGTGCCCTGGAGGCCGTTTGGACCACCCCGATAATCCTGGGGGTACTTTGGGCCAGGAGGAGGAGCAGGAGGAGGAGGAGGAGGAGGAGGAGGAGGAGGAGGAGGAGGGGAGGAGGAGGGGGAGGAGGAGGAGGAGGAGGAGGAGGAGGAGGAGGAGGAGGAAGCAGCAGCATTAGTGCCCGCGGCGGCCGCGAGGGAGTGTCGCGGACGCGCGGACCTTCGCCCCGGTGGCCCCCTCGCCCGTTTTCCTCTTTGAGTGCCTCCTGGGAGGCCCTCGTCGCCACCGCTGGATTCGCCTCGAACTCCTGGTCAGGTCAGAGCGCACCCTGGGAGAGGTCCGTGGAGGTAGCGGTATCGGTGCCTTGTGGTTTCCCTGGTGACGTGTGGAAATTGCCTTGAGTGCCTTGCCATGCCGTGTGGTGCGGTGCTGCGTGGTCGCACCATCGTCATCGTGCAGTTGCCCAGTTCGATTTGCGGAAAGCTGTCCGAGGCTTCTTGGCCACGGTTGTGTTGCCCTGAGCAGAATTGGGCAACGTTTTCTGTTTGTTGCTTGTTTTTTTTCCGGGGCGCGCACCATGTTGTGGAGTGCGACCCCCGCTCTTCGCATCCACGTTGAGTTCTGATGAGTTGCGAGCTCGCGACAGACACGGTGATTTGCAGTGCTGGTATATGGTCGCAGTGGTTGCAGCGCTTGCACATAGTCGCATACTACCTATAATTTGGTCTGTGCCTTCAGCTCAACAGCTGCACTCCTGAAGCTCCTCCAGGTTATGCTTGAGTCAGTTTTGTACAACTTCTGCATGCCTTGGAGGGTCCGCTCGTGGTATGGAGAAAGTAAAGACCAGGTCGTGTGCGTGGCTTTTACTTGCAGGGTCCGCCGATGTCAAAGGTTGCTCTCCGATCCCTCGATCAGAGTTGTTTGGGGGCAAGCCGGTCTGAGGGCCATCGTGCGTCGGCTTTTAAATGTTATGCCCCTCACGCTCTTCAGGGCGGCCCGTCGCACTCCTTGTCCATATCGTCCTCAGCGGTTTTGCGAGCTTGTGGCAGAGGTGATCAGAACTGCACAGGCTCAATAGCTGCGCGGATGGCACTTTGCATTGCTTCGGCTCGTCAATCCCTTTGCGCCCCAACTTTCTGCTCAGAGCAAAAGCTTGAGTTTCCAACATGTATTGGTTTCGTGCAGCCGAGCAGGATGACGAGCATGACGAGGATGACGAAGATGATGATGAAGAGGACGGGGACGCGGAGGAGGATGATGATGATGATGAGGAGGAGGAGGAGGACCAGTGTAAACCCAAGAGTCATCAACGAGGTTGGAATAAACCTTCCCTCGAAGCTCCCTCTTCATAGGCCCCTACAACTGTTCATATCCACTAAGAGAACTGCCTCGTTGGAAGACAACCGTTGGAAGAGCCTGAAGCGTGCCACAACATTATTCTCGTGTCTGCAACGCCACGGTTCAACCTGACTGTTGCGTCTTGACGATTCTGAATCGTGCCAGAGCGCCATTCCTTGGACTTCAGCACCGCGAGTCAAAGTAGTTGTTACACCATCATAATCCTGAATATTTCCAAACAGCATTTCGGGTACGTTGACCATGGGAACCCGGGAAACTTTGTGCAATTTTTCAGAAAGGAGTGAGCGCGGCGCCAAGGCGAGAGCCACATTTTGAAAAGGAACCGCCCTCAATCTGTGAAGCTCGCGCAAATGTTTGGAAAGGAATGTGCGCGGCGCTAGGGCGAGAGCGACATTTTGAAAACGACCCGCCCTCAATCCGTGAAACCCTTGCATCTTTTAAACATATGTGCGCGTCGCTGAGGCGAGAGCCACATTTATTTTGAAAACGACCCGCCCTCCAGCTGTGAAATTGCTGCCACGTTTTGAGCTTCAGGGTCACAAGTGGTGCAGAAGTCTCGGGTGAAACGCCCGGCCCGCCCGTTTTACCGGCTTCGGGGTGCGACAGGGAGAAGTTATTCATGAGGAGAAGGAGTGGAGGAGGAGGGGGAGAAGGAGGAGAAGGCGGAGGAGGAGGAGGAGGGGGATGAGGAGGAGGAGGAGGAGGAGGAGGAAGAGGAGGAGGAGGAGGAGGAGGAGCAGGAGGCGGAGGAGGAGAAGAAGAAGAGGGGGATGAGGAGGAGGAGGAGGAGGAGGAGGAAGAGGAGGAGGAGGAGGAGGAGGAGCAGGAGGCGGAGGAGGAGAAGAAGAAGCAGTGGGTTGATGATGATGATGATGATGATGATGATGATGATGACGACGATGATGATGATGATGATGATGATGATGATGATGATGATGATGATGATGATGATGCTGATGATGATGATGATGATGATGATGATGATGATGATGATGATGATAATGATGCTGATGATGATGATGATGATGATGATGATGATGATGATGATGATGATGATGATGATGATGATGATGATGATGATGATGATGATGATGATGATGATGATGATGATGATGATGATGATGATGATGATGATGATGATGATGATGATGATGATGATGATGATGATGATGATGATGATGATGATGATGATGATGATGATGATGATGATGATGATGATGATGATGATGATGAGAGGGAGGAGGGAGACGCCGTGCTCTGCACTGGTGGGGGCGCGAGGCGCTTCACGCTCGAGCGGGAGAAGTTCCGCTCGGAGTACGAGGCCGTGCTGGGGTGGTGGTGAAACAAACAGCCAAGCACGCGATCGTCCCCTTCCTTTTTGCGATCGTTTTTTCATTCATTGTTTTGCCGATCGGCGCGGGCCCTCGCACCCCCCTCCCTATGGAGTCGATCTTGGGTGTTTTTGGCGCCTTGTTCGATCAGGTTGTGGCTCCCCCTACAGAACGCACTGCTGCAAACAGTCGCACTAAGCAGAGGTCCAGAGCCAGACCCCCCCCTCCCCCCCCCTTCCGTCCAATGTCGAAACGCCGAATAAGGAAACGCTCACTTGTTGCGCGCCACAAGTAGGAGCAACCAACTGTTCGTCTCCCCCTTCTCTTCCCCTCATCGGCCCGTCCCCTTTTCTCTCGTCGCCCTCCTGCCCTTCTCTCGGCACCTGCTTCTCCTCTCCTGGATGCGCTACTGCCTCGTTCCAGGTTGCCTTTTCCGCTCCCGCGCCTCCCCCTTGCCTCCTCATTCCCTCGAACTGTCGATACCCGGTAGTCTGGCCTTGGCCAGTAAGGAGGTACGGCAGCGGAAGAACTCACACGAAATTCGCTTGTTGTGTATTCCTCTTCGCGTGCCGCTTGTAGATCGTCTATTGCACGCTGTCTGCTTTGCCAGTTTGATAAATGTTGAGCTTGCGCGGTTCACAGACACCCGCCAGTACACATGGAGGAGGAGGAGGAGGAGGAGGAGGAGGAGGAGGAGGAGGAGGAATCCTCTTCCGCGTTCGCATTTCCACCTTGCATGCTCTTAGCGTTTTCGCCGCGGCCCTCGCCTCGGGCTTTTGATCCTGGCTCCCCAGATTGGGCCAGAGCAGATGAGTTCGGATAATCGCGCAGCATCCTCGATGCATCGGCGATGCGGCTGGATTCGATGCGGAGCCCGACTTTCTCCTCGCCGATGTGGCCGTTGCGTCACCGACGCCCCCGCTGCGTCGCCGATGTGTCGGCGATGCATCGACGATGCAGCGCGATCCTGCGACCCCATCTACAGTGGAGACCCATGCCGAGAAACACCCTGCCTACCTCCAGGGTGCCCTGGTTTTCGTGGTTTTGCGATGTAGAGCGTGACGTTCCCGCACCAATCGTCGATGGACGTCCTGGGGTCTCAGGGTTGCGTTTCTTGTGGAAGGTTTCTTGTGGTCGAGCTCCCACTAAAAGGGCCGCGCGGATTTCTTGGATCGGCGCTGGATCCCCCTTGGCGCGCGGAACGCGCCGGGGGCAGCGCTGGAGGTGCCAGCTCGGGCCTCCTCATGCCAGTCCTCCGCCACGTTTTCTCCTCCTCCTTCTCCTCTTCCTCCTCCTCCTCCTCCTCTTCCTCCTCCTCCACTCTACTCCGACCCCATCCGAGAGCCCTCCATTCAACGCACCTCCGGCTCTGCCCAAGCGTGCGGCCGTGGCGGCAGCGCCACGAGAGAGCACAGGGCACCACAGGGCGCTCGCCAGGAGCTGCATAACCATCGGCTGCGCGCCCAGGGGTGGAACCGAGGAGGAGGAGGAGAGGGAGGAGGAGGAGGAGGAGGAAGAGGAGGAGGAGGAGGAGGAGGAGCAGGAGGAGGCGGGGCAGGAGGAGGAGGAGGAGGAGGAGGAGGAGGAGGAGGAGGAGGAGAGGGAGGAGGAGGAGGAGCAGTGTAAACCCAAGAGTCATTAACGATGTTGGAATGAACCCTTCCTCCAAGTTCCCTGTTCGTAGGCCCCTACAACGGTCCATTTCCATTGAGGGAGCGGTCTCGTTGGAAGACAACCGTATGTTTTGACACGCTTCAGTTGATTCATGTCAAAAAATTGTTCTCGGGACTTCACGCCACGGATCAACTTGACAGCTGCGTCCTGACGATCTGGAATCGCGCCAGAACGCCGTTCTTGGGACTTCAACACCGCGTTTCAACATAACTGTTGCACTCGCATAGTTCTGAATTCTTCCACAACGCAGTATCTTGGTAAGCACGTTGATCATGGGAAGTCGTGATGCTCTTGCAAATTTTGAAAACGAAAGTGAGCGGCGCCAAGGCGAGAGTCGCATTTTGAAAAGGAACCGCCCTCAATCCGTGAAGCTTCTGCAAATATTCAAACGAATGTGCGCGGCGCTAAGGTGAGAACCGCATTTTGAAAAGGAACCGCCGTAATCCATGAAACTGTTGCAAGTTTTCAAAACGAATGTGGGCGGCGCCAAGGCGAGAGCCACATTTTGAAAACGACCCGCCCTCAATCCGTGAACATTTTGCATTTTTTGCAACGGAAGTGCGCGGCGCTAAGGCGAGAGCCACATTTTGAAAGTCAGCCGCCCTCAATCCGTAAAGCTCTTGCGAACTTGTAAAACGAATGTGCTCGACGCTGAGGCGAGAACCGCACATTGAAAATCACGGCCCTCAATCCGTGAAGCTCTTGCCAGTTTTGACAACGAATGTGCGCGGCGCTAAAGCGAGAGCCACATTTTGAGAACGACCCGCCCTCAATCCGTGAAACTCCTTAAATTTTTTAAGCGAATCTGCGCGGCGCCAAGGCGAGAACCACATTTTGAGAACGACCCGCCCTCAATCCGTGAAACTCTTACATTTTTTAAACGAATCTGCGCGTCGCCGAGGCGAGAACCACATTTTGAAAACGACCCGCCCTCCATCTGTGAAATTGTTGCCATTTTTCAAGTTTCAGAGTCATAAGTCGTGAGGAAGTCTCATGCGAAACGCCCGGCCCGCCCTAAAAACTGCCCTCCGGATGCGACAGGGAAAAGTTATTTATAAGGAAAAGGAATGGAGGAGGAGCAGGAAGAGGAGGAGGAGGAGGAGGAGGAGGAGGAGGAGGAGAAGGAGGAGGACAAGGATGAGGAGGAGGAGGAGGTGGAGGAGGAGGAGGAGGAGGAGGAGGCGGGGCAGGAGGAGGAGGAGGAGGAGGAGAAGCAGGAGGACCAGTGTAAACCCAAGAGTCATCAACGATGTTGGAATGGACCCTCCCTCCAAGCTCGCTTCTCACAGGCCCCTACAATGGTTCATTCCCATTGAGGGAGCTGCCTCGTTGGAAGACAACCGTTTGAAGATCCTGGAGCGTGCCAAAACATTGTTCTCGGGATTTCAGTGTCACGTATCAACCTGACTGTTGCGTCTTGACGATCCGGAATCGTGCCAGAGCGCCGTTTATGGGACTTCGACACCGCGAATCAACATAATTGTTGCGCCTGCATAAACTTGAATCCTTCCAAGACACAATTTCTCGTAGATCGACCATGGGAACACTTTTAAGCAACAACTCTTGTCATTTTTAAAAACGAGTGTACGCGGCGCTAAGGCGAGAACCACATTTTGAAAACGACCCGCCCTCAATCCGTGAAACTCTGGCAATCTCTTATAAAGAATGTGCGCGGCGCCGAGGTGGGAGCCACATTTTGAAAAGGGGCCGCCCTCAATCCGTGAAACTCTTGCAATTTTCGAAATCGCATGTGTTCGGCACTAAGGCGAGAGCCACATTTTGGAAACGACCTGCCCTCAATCCGTGAAGCTCTTGCAAAGGTTAAAAACGAATGTGCGCGGCGCTAAGGAGTGTGCGCGGCGCTAGGGCGAGAGCCTTTATTTTGAACAGGGGCCGCCCTCAATCCGTGAAGCTCTTGCAAATTTTGGCAACGAATGTGCGCGGCGCTAAGGCGAGGGCCACATTCTGAAAACGACCCGCCCTCCATCTGTGAAGCTGTTGCCACTTTTTAGCTTCAGTGTCATAAATGGTGAGGAAGTCTCAGGCTAAACGCCTGGCCCACCCTAGAAGTGGCTTCGGGGTGCGACAGGGAGAAGTTATCTATAAGGAGAAAGAATGGAGGAGGAGGAGGAGAAAGAATGGAGGAGGAGGAGGAGGAGGAGGAGGAGGAGGAGGAGGAGGAGAAGGATGAGGAGGAGGAGGAGAAGGATGAGGAGGAGGAGGAGGGGAGGAGGATGAGGAGGAAGGAGGAGGGAGGAGGGAGGATGGAGGAGGGAGGAGGAGGGATTGTGGAGGTCGTCAGGGAGATTTTTTTGAGCGGCGCTGTGCCCCCCTTCCTGGCGTGCGGAGCGCACCGGGCGTGGCGTCGGAGGCACCGCGGGAGGTGGAGTCCAGCGCCGATCCAAGAGATCCGCGCGGAGCTCCAGCATTTCGTGCTTGTGCAGCTTTCTGTTCCTCTGCTGGAGTTACGTCGGGCTTGTCCCTCTACAGGAGGAAAATCAAGACATAGTTTAAAAATAGTTAGGGGACGATTTTTGAATATTTTTGATCATTTGGGGGATATTTGTTGACGTTTTTCATTCTTCCAAAATCCGCCTGTAGGGGGACATGCCCGACCTAAGCTTATGCAGTTTCCTGTTCCTCTGCTAGAGTTGGACAGAGTGCCGCACGACCCAAACAGCTTCAGGTTGGACCTTCACTCTGAGCTCTTCGGCGTCCCGGCGTACCGTCCTGAGCAAGCGACATCGGCCGAGTTGGCTGGTGTCTCGAAGCGCGGCTTGGCGCAGCAGGCAGGCGGACGCAAGAAGGTGCGTTGAGGGAGGTGCCGAAGAACAACACAAATACGTCTGCGTTGGCCTCACCACGATCGCCGCCGCTGCCGCTCCCGCGCGCACGGGCCCCTGGGCGGCCAGATCGCGGAGCGAGAGCGCCAGCGAATCTCGGACCACAACGTGGCGACCGAGACCATGGTCGACCTCAACGTTGGCGGCGTCATCTTCGAGGCGGGAGGGGGAGAGGACGAGAGGCTGTGGGACAGGGAGGTGAACTAGGATGGGGCGGGTGCGTATGGGGGAGGGTCACAGAGGGAGTGCGTGAGGATCAGGATGAAGACGAGGCTGAGGCTGCCAGTGGTGGTGATGATGATGATGATGATGATGAAGAAGGTGATGGTAGCGATGCCGATGGCAATGGCAGTGGCGATGACGATGCTAGTGACGATAATTATGATAAGTTGATAATGATGATGACGATGATGGTCATGATGATGGTCATGATGATAAGGATGACGATGACGATGATGATGAGGATGACGATGATGATGATGATGATGATGATGATGATGATGATGAGGATGATGATGATAAGGCTGATGATGGCGATGATGATGGTGCTGCTGATATGGGTATTGATCATGACAATGGTAATGATAATGATGCTGCTGCTGATGATGATGATGACGATGATGATGATACTGCTGATGATGATGCTGATGATGTTGAGGATGATGATGAGGATGATGCTGCTGCTGCTATAGCTGATGCTGATGCTGCTGCTGCAGATGATGCTGATGATGATGATGATGATGGTGATGGTGATGATGATGATGATGGTGATGGTGATGATGATGATGGTGATGATGATGATGATGATGATGATGATGATGATGATGATGATGATGATGATGATGATGATGATCATGATCATGGCAGGGAGCCAGGGGATCCGACCACCCATGTGTTCGACGAGGATCCCCAGCGAGCACACGCAGTTCCCGCCCCTGGACCACCCACCCAGTTTGCCTCTGCCGATCCTCCTCCGATCGGCGTCGGACGACGACGACGATGACGACGAGAGAGAGAGGAGGAGAGACCGAAGCAGGGCCGCCTACGACCCGACGCGCTACGATTCGATTCGCCTGCCTCGGCCGCGATGTCGATTCGGCACGTTTCGCAGGCACTGGCCGGGGCTGGCTGGAGCCAGGCGCGGTGGCGACCTAATTTCGATCCGATTCCAGACGAGCTGTTGGCGATCCGATCCGCTTCCACTCCGATCCGATCGCGCGGTTCGTTCTAGCTCAGGCCTGCCGAGGCAGAGCCCTGAGCCCTCCTCCGCCTGTTCGTCCTCCTCCGCCTCATCCTCTTCCTCTCCGTCCTCCTCCTCCTCCTCCTCCTCCTCCTCCTCCCTCTGTTCTTCCTCCTGCTCCTGCTCCTCCTACTCCTGTTCCTCGTCCTTCTCCTCCTCCCATTCCTCCTCCTCTTCCTCCTCCTCTTCCTCCTCCTCCTCCTATTCCGCCTCCTCGTCCTCCTCCTCCTGTTCCTCGTCCTTCTTTTCCTCCTGTTCCTCCTCCTCCTGTTCCGCCTCCTCATCCTCTTCCTCCTCGTCCTCCTGTTCCTCCTCGCTCCAGGATCCCCCCCACGATCCCCTCCCCCCGGGATCCTCCCGAAGTGTCACAGATGCTAAATTTCAGGGGCATACATGGTGAGGAAGCCTTGGGCGAAACGCCAGACCGGCCCTACCGACATGTCTGGAGTGAGACAGGGAGCAGTTTTAACAGCTGCCTACAGCAAGTCCCGCCACTGGGCCTGGGTTGTGGGTATGAAGCCTATTGGATGCTCGGTGGGATCTCGTGAGAGGCCTCTCGGGCGCCTCTTGGAGGCAGTTCCGAGGACTCTTGGGTGCCGTTTTGGGGCCTCTTTTTGGCCTTCTTGGGAGCTTCATGGGGCCCCTTGGGGGCCTCTTGGGGCCTCTCTGGCGCCTCTCGGAGCCTCCCGGGAGCCTCTTGGGGCGGACGGCTCGGATTTTCGGTTCGTGTTAATCACCTCTCTTGGGGCCCTTTTTGGGCCATCGTGGGGCTCTCTTTGGGCCGTCTTGGGCGCCTCTTGGGCCGTCTTGGGGCGCTCTTGAGCCGTCTTGGGGCCCTCTTGCAGGCCTGCCGTTTTGGGGTGGTCTTGGGGCCTCTTGGGCCGTCCTGGAGCGTCGGAAAGCCGAAAAGGCGGGAACGCGAAAATCCTTCAAAATCCCAAGGGAAATCAATGATTTCGATTTTGCCTCTTGGGGCCCTCTTGGGAGGCCTCTTGGAGGCCTCTTGGGGCGTCTCGGAGGCCTCTTGGGCCATCTCGAGGCCATCTTGGGCGTTTTCGAGCGATGGTTGGGCGACTCGGGGCCCTCTTGGACTGTCTGGGCCGTCATGGAAGCCTGAGAGAGCCCCAGGGAGGCGCCATGGCCGCCTAGGGACCCCCCCCGAGTAGAGGCGATGCAGTCGGGTGGGTGCCCATAGAAGACTTCAGAAACCCTGCCAGACAGCCCTTGGGTGGCGAAGTTACGAGCAAACGGGATGCAGGAGGAGGAGGAGGAGGAGGACGAGGAGGAGGAGGAGGAGGTCCAGTGTAAATGTAAGGTTCATCAGCGATGTTGGAATAAACCCTCCTTCCAAGCTCTCTGCTCACAGGCCCCTACAACGGTTCATTTCCATTGAAGGAACTGCCTCTTTGGAAGACAACCGTTTGAAGACCCTGAAGCATGTCAAAACATAGTTCTCGAGATTTCAACGCCGCGGATCAACCTGATTGTTGCGTCTTGACAGTCCAGAATCGTGCCAGAACGCCATTCCTGGGACGTCAACACAGCGAACCAACATAACTGTTGCACCCGCGTAATCCTGAATCCGTTCAAAAACACCATTTCTGGCCCGTGAATGATGGAAACCTATAAAACTTGTGCAACCCTTTAAAACGAATGTGCGCCGCGCTGAGGCGAGAGCCACATTTTGAAAAGAAACCGCCCTCAATCCGTGAAGCTCTTGCAAATGTTTAAAATGAATATGCGCCGCACTAAAGCGAGAGCCACATTTTGAAAACCACCCGCTTTCAATCCGTGAAGCTTTTGCAAATGTTTAAAACGAATTGCGCCGCGCTAAAACGAGAACCATATTTTGAAAACGACTCGCCCTCAATCCGTAAAGCTCTTGCAAATGTTTAAAACGAATGTGCGCGGCGCTACGGCGAGAGCCACATTTTGAAAACCACCCGCCCTCAATCCGTGAAGCTCTTGCAAATGTTTAAAACGAATGTTCGCCGCGCTAAGGCGAGAGCCACATTTTGAAAGCGACCCGCCCTCCATGTGTGAAGCTGTTGCCAATCGTTAAGCTTCAGAGACATAAATGGTGAGGACGTCTCAGGCGACACGCCCGGCCCGCCCTAAAACTTGGCCTCGGGGTGCGACAGGGAGAAGTTATTTATAAAAAATACGGAGGAGAAGGAGGAGGAGAAGGTGGAGGAAGGAGGGAGGACGGAGGAGGGAGGAGGGAGGACGAGCATCTAGAACCGCAGAGGAAGATTTTTTCTAGGCCTACCCTGGCTTATCCAGGCCTATCCAGGCCTATCCAGGCCTAATCTGAATTTCTGATTGGGCCTATCCAGGCCTAATCTGAATTTCTGATTGGTGTAAACCCCTGGTCTCCACCGCTGCCGGCCGTTAGGGACCGGGTCTGGCCCCCCTCCCCTCCTGGCTGGTTTCGTCGACGTTTTTCGCTTTTTCGTCTCAGCGGGACATTTTGTTGACTTTTTCGTCGTTTTTAGTTTTACGTTTTTCTCGTCTTCTTTGACAGTGCAAAGTCGACGCTTTTCGTCTCAACGTGGACATTCTATCGCCCATGTTGCAAGAAATGCGTGGCGAGAATGGGACGGGGCGCGCATCCCGCGCGAAAGGCCGAAAGGTCGCTCTCGCCCCGGCGCCGCGCTCTCCTTTTTCGAGGGAGCTGAGCTCCCGCTCGCGGGGCGACGCGCACCTTCGTCGACGCGCGATCGGACGAAAATGCCGCTGTCGCCTCGGCGCCGGGCAGGTTCGGCCCGGAAGGGGCGCTCCCCGACCGCCCCGCGCGCGCCCGGCTCAGACCAGCGCCGCCTCCTCTCTGCCTCCTTCTCTGCGCCGGGCGCGGGGGCCGGCTGGTCCAGGGGGGGGGGCGGCGCGCAGACGCGCTCCTGGGGCCTCGACGCGGCGCACATTTCACACTCGCTGTGTGCGGCTTGCCTCCCCTCGTCCAGGCCCCGTGCGCCTTGGGCTCGGAGGTGGCGCTCTCCAGCGCGGAACCAGGGTGCACGGCGCGCTCGCCGAGGCGCAGGGAAGCGACGGCGCCTCCCGGGGCCGCGCGAGAGCGGGCGAAATGCCGACCTCGCACAAGCGCCGCGCAGCTTGCGAGTGAAAGTGGCAATGCGGTGTCAGCACGGCGCGTGCTTCGTCTTCGATGCGCCCCTCCCGAAGCTGTGCGGCTCTCGCCCCTCCGCGGCCCGCGCAGTTTTCTTTCCGCCGGGTCGTTGGAGGCGGGGCCGCGCGTGAGGTCCTTCCGTTTGCGAGGTGGGAGCGCGCTTCAATCCCAGTGTTCAGTTGTGCCCCAATGGTTCCTTGGCCCTCTGACTCGCTCGTCCTGGCCAACTTGACCCTCGGCCTACCCTTGGCAGAAAGGCTTTCGCTTGGCCGACCCAGGCCATCCTAGGCCTTCCCTGAGCCTTCCTAGGCTTACCCCAGGCCTTCCCAGGCCTACCCTAGGACATCCTAGGCCTACCCTGGGCCTTCCAGGCCTTCCATAGGCTTCCAGGCCTTCCATAGGGCCTACCTAGCGCTATCCCTAAGCTTACCCCCCAGACATTCAATGTCTCGATTTTTCTTCCCGTGTGGGCTCCCAGACGTACCGACCTTTTCTCCAGGGCCAGCTTTCCGTCCTGACTTGTTTTCTGATGGTCCGGGGGCCCGACGAGGGCCCCCACGGGCTGGATAAAGCCAGAAACCTCCCGTCGTGTTTTCTATTCTTCTATTCGTTGTTCTGCCGATCGGCGCGGGCCCTCGCACCCCCCCTCCCCCCCCTGGAGTAGATCTTGGCTCTTTTTGGCGCCTGTTTCGAGCAGGTGGGGCCTCCCCCAGAATGGACGCACTGCTGCAAACAGTCGCGCTCCGCAGAGGTCCAGAGCCAGACCCCCCCCCTCCCCCCCCCTTCCGCCCCCAATGTCGAAACGCCGAATGACAGAACCGCTCACTGCGGACGCGAGCGCGTCTGGTGCGGTGGCGGCGCTAGCGGCGCCAAGCTGCGGCGAGGGGTGGCGGCGGGCGGCGGCGGTCGGCTCCCCGCGGCGCCGGCGAGGCCGCCAGGCACACGTGCACGCAGCAGCCGGGCAGCCTGCTGGAGAGGCGCCCGCGCCCTGTTCGCGGGGCGGGCGCCGGGTGCCAGGTGGAAGGGGGAGGGAGGGAGGGAGGGAGGCAGGGAGGCAGGGAGGGAGGGTGCCAGAGGGAAGGGGTGCGGGAGGGAGGGGAGGGAGGGAGGGAGCCAGGTGCCAACTGCAAGGGGCGAGGAAGGGAGGGAGGCGGGGAGGCAAGGAGGCAGGGAGAGAGGGAGGAATGATGATGACGATGATGAAGAAGATGGCGGTGATGGCGGTGATGGCGGTGATGGCGATGGTGATGGTGATGGTGATGATGGCGATGGTGAGAAAGATGATGACGACGACTATGACGAAAATGAATCATGCGATGGAAGTGGCCATGACAATGATTGTCTATGAGGATGCCGAGGACGATGACAACGATGACGACGACGACCACAATGATGATGCTGATGCTGATGCTTCAGCGGATGAGGAGGAGGAGGAGGTTGAGGATGACGATATTGGTGATGTTGATGATATTGGTGATGATGATGATGATGATGATGATGATGATGATGATGATGATGATGATGATGATGATGATGATGATGATCATGATGATACTGATGATGACGATGATGATGGTGATGGTGATGATGATGATGCTGATGCTGATCATGATGATGTTGCTGCTTCTGCTGACGGCGACGATATTCATGGTGGTGGCAATGCTTCCGATATTGATAGTGATGCCGCCGATGATGATGCTGTTGATGATGGTTGTGGTGGTGGTGATGACGATAAGGATGCTGATGATGAGGATGATGACGACGATGATGATGATGATGCTGCTGATGATGATGTTGTGGATGATGATGATGAGGATGATGATGAGGACGAGGACGATGATGAGGATGAGGACGATGATGATGCTGATGATGCTGATGATGCTGATGATGATACTGATGATTGCGATGTCGCTGATGATGATGATGCAGATGATGATTATGCTGCTGCTGCTGATGATGCTGACGATGGTGGTGATGATGATGAGCATACTTACGATTGTGGTGATCATGATGACGCTGCTGGTGATGATGCTGATGATGCTGCTGCTGATGATTATTGTGATGATTATGTTGTTGATGATGATGATGCTGATGATGATGATGATGATGATGATGATGATGATGATGATGATGATGATAACGACGAGGATGACGATGATGATGCTGCTGCTGATGATGATGATGACGAACTTGATGCAGATGATGAGTATGAGGATGAGGATGATAATGCTGCTGATGATGATGATGATGAGGAGGAGGAGGAGGCTGATGATGATGACGATGACGATGACAGTGACGATTCCGATGACGATGATGATGAGTAGGAAGGAGCGGCGGAGGAAGCAACGGAGGAGAAGGATGAGGATGAGGATGACGATGATGACGATGACGATGACGATGATGCTGATGATGATGATGATGATAATGATGATGATGATAATGCTGATGATGATGATGATGATGATGATGATGATGATGATGATGCTGATGATGATGATGATGATGATGGCTCTAATCTCGACGAAGAGAGATTATGGTATTGATGTCGTTTACGATGATGCTGATGCTGATGATGATGGCTGATGATGATGATGCTGATGCTGATGAGGATGCTGATGATGCTGCTGATGATGATGATGACGATGTCGATGGTGATGATGGTGATGGTGATGGTGATGATGCTGATGATGATGATGCTGATGATGGTGATGATGATTACTATTATCATGATGAGGATGCGGATGAGGATGAGGATGCTGATGCTGATGCTGATGCTGACGCTGATGATGCTTATGATGATGCTGATGTTGCTGATGATGATGCTGATGCTGATGCTGATGCTGATGATGATGCTGCTGCTGATGATGATGCTGCTGATGATGATGCTGCTGATGATGATGCTGATGATGATGATGCTGATGCTGAGGATGATGATGTTGATGATGATGATGCTGATGATGCTGATGATGATGATGATGATGATGATGATGATGATGGTTATTATTATTATTATTATTATTATTATTATTATTATTATGCTGCTGCTGCTGATGATGCTGCTGCTGCTGCTTATGATGGTGATGATGATGCTGCTGCTGATGATGATGATGATGATGAAGGTGATGATGATGTTGATGATGATGATGATGATGGTGGTGATGATGATGATGATGATGATGATGATGATGATGGGGAGGAGGAGGCGGAGGAGGAGGATGAGGTGGAAGATGATCGGGGTGGTGGTGGTGGTGGTGGTGATGATCGGTATTATTATGAGCGAGCAGGGTTTTACACTCAGCAGAACTGAACTTTTCAGGATTCGTGTCGACACTGCGGATATTCATAAGAGGCGGAGGGATGGGTGTGTGTGGGATTGAGGGATGTGGCGATGGATGTGGGATGGAGAAGGGGGGAACGGTTAGGGGAGCTCTTCAGGGATTCCATGGGGTTCTGGGGAGCGGAAGTGTTGGAGGAGGTGGGGGAGGAGGAGGAGGAGGGTGATTCTCCTGCTGCTGCTCGTCCTGTTGCTACTCGTTCCGCTACTGACCCTCGCTGCTGCTGCTGCTGCTCCATTCCTCCTCCTCGCCTTTATCCATCCTCCCCATCCACCCTGCTTCCCCCCCTCCTCTGTCGCCCCCTCCCTCCCTCCCTCCTCCTCCTCCTCCTTTCCTCCTCCTCCTGCTCCTCCTCCTCCTCCTCCTGCTCCTGCTCCTCCTCCTCCTCCTCCTCCTCCTCCTCCTCCTCCCCCCCGTCCTCCTTCTCCCCCTCCTCCTCCTCCTCCTCCTCCTCCTCCTCCTCCTCCTCCCCTGCCCCTCTCCCTCTCCTCCCCTCCCCATCCTTCCTCTTCACCTTCCCCTCCTCTCCTCTCCGTAGCCATTTTGGCTCAAGGCCAAAACGGTGTTCATTTCACTGCCTATCTGGGGTAGGCTCCCGCAGCTTTCAGTGCTTTTCGTATCCGCAGCCACACTCACGGGCCAGCTGCCGCCACCTTCATATTCCTCCCTTGCGCTGCTCGCGAGAGCTTGCTGGGAAGCAGAGACACGATGGCCGCCGCGGATCGTGGTGGAGGGACCGCCCCTGCTGACGGAGGAGCTGCCGCCAATGCTGGCGGCACCAGGCCGCGACGCGCACGTCCTGAAGGCGGACGAGGCTCGCCAGCAAGGTTCGCAAGCCAATACACAGTCTGCAAGCAGTGCGGATACCGATGGACATGGAAGGGCAAGTCCGAGTGCTTCTCTTGTGGCAAGCAGCTGGCTCCATCACCTGCCGAACACCGCCAGCCCACAGGGGCTTGGGCAGGAGCCAGCAAGCCACCGCCGTGGAAGGAGCCGCCAGTGGCCGCCGCCCCTACAAGGGACGCCATCCTCGCCGCGCTCAGCACGCTCCTCAGCGACACCAAGCACGCCGAACTCGTCGGCAACCTTAAGGACGCCCTCCAGCAGCCCGACAAGCCTCCGCCTGCCCGCAGAGCCGAGCAGGTGCTCCAGTCGGCGCTGTCAGTCCTCACCGACAGGGAGAAGAAGTTCCAGCAAACGGTCGACGACGTCGAGACCGCCAAGCAGTGGCACGACGACGCCGTGGACAAACAAGAGCAAGCCGCCCTTGACCTCGTCCAGGCACAGAACGCTTGCGCCAAGGCACAAGCTGACCACAGTGCCAAACTCGCTGGAGCAGTACGCGGAGCACCACCTGTGGGGCCTCAGGAAGCCTTCAAGGTTGACAGCTCAATGTGGGACGACCTCTCCATTTACGATGATGGCACCCGCGCCCAGATGGAACAGTGGAAGCAAGAGCTCGACCAGCGCCTCGCCGAGCTGAACAATGGCCATGCAAAAGTTCGAGAGCTCCTACGCCAAGCCAAGGAGTCCACCACCAACCATGCGAAGCGCAAGAAGCCGAATGGGGAAGCACCTGCTGCTCAGCAACCTGCTCCTGAGCCTGGGCACCCTTCCGTACCACCAGCTGAACAGCAGCCAGCCGCCGCACCTGGAGGGCAGGCGCAACCAGGCGCGCCAGGAGGATTTGCCGCCCCACCTGCTGAGCCACGTCAGCCTGGAGGCGCCCCTGGACCCGCCGCAGCCGCCTCTGCCGCCGACGAGCCAGCCGAGGGGGACCGCAAGGCCGCCGCCGAGCTCATCGCCACCACCGCCAGGGCCAGGGAGCTGGCCTTCGCAGCGAAGGGCATTGGCAAGGGCGCCACCACGGTGCCAGCGGCAGCGGCAGGAGCCTCACCGTCGCTGGGGTAGCCGCAAGCAGCCTGCTCGGCTTAAGGGGCCTGGGATCCGCGCCAGTGGTCCGCCCACGGCAGGAGCACCCGCCCCTAAGCCCGAGCAGGCAGCGCAGATCCCGTTCGGCAACATCACGGAATGGGGCCCGCAGGCCGCGAACTTCTGTCGCAACGCAGGGTACAAGTACCACCTCATAGCGCTAGCGGAGACGCACGTCGACGCGAACGGCCTCACGGAGCAGATCGGCAAGCTCGCCATGGACGGCTGGAAGCTCTCGGCCGCACCGGCGGTGGCTACCAACAAATCGGACAAGGGGACCCATGGCGGCGAGTGGATCCTCACGCGCAGGGGCGTGTCGGCGACTACGTTCGAGGGCTGCAGGGACTACTATGTCAAGCGCCACAAGAGGCAGCCGTTCGTGGGGTTCACGCCGACGGTCCTCCACACCAAGAGCGGCAACATAGTCGTCGTGGCAGCGTGCCTTCGCCCTGGCCTACGGGACCAAGGCGCGAACAGGGACATCCTGGTCTCCATCTCCACCTTCGTGGACATGCTCACGGACCCGTGGATCATCCTGGCCGACTGGAACTACGAGCCGCACTGGTGGGGCAACCAGCCGTGGCTCGCGCGCTGGAACGGCGCCATCCTGACCGACCCGAACTGCAAGGCGACGTGCGACAAGGGCTCGGGCTCCGTGTACGACTACGCGATCGTACGAGCGGACATCGCCACGCACATCGGGATCGAGG